CCCCAGATTTTTAGGGTGCTGCCCTTCTGTCCTTCAGGCTGTAATGCTTGCAGCATTGGGTGGCTTTTTGCCATCTGAACTCTTTAGTTGTAGAGCAATATGAAGAAAAGCAGTGCCACTTAAGTTGCTTGTTGCTAGTTATGTAGATCCAGAAAGCAGCCAGTTCTAGGATGGTTAGGATGCTCTGGCACAAAGCAGCTCAGGGCCCCAAGAATAAGTCCAACAGCAGCAAAGAATTAACCTTTACATGAGCAGGCACCAGTAAAGCTGAACTTGCTTATGCTGCTGAACAGAAGGGCTTTCCCCGAAAGGTCACTACAGCATCAGAGCACTGCGCCACCACCAGAGTACTCTTCCCAGAACATTTTACAATTAAGTCAATTGACCAGCTTTTATGTTAAAAAAGATGACACTGAAATCAAACAATTTTTTAATCAAAAAGGATAACAGTAAGCTTTCATCGAACCATATCCCATAACAACTCTACTTTTGGGAAATATGGAAAATGGTGGCGATGAACACAATTGATAAACTATTTCCTGCTGCAAAATGTTGAAAAATGGGCAATGAGTGATAGAGGCGAGCGGTCTCTCCTGAATAAGGACTTACTAGCACAGTTCACGCTTTTAAGATGGTCAAGGCCATCTGGATCTCTGCAGGCAGCTGATTTCACTCTGTGATTTTTCAAATGCTTAGTCGAACCTTCGTAATTTTAAAACAGCTCAGCAACTATCCAGAATTGCCTAGTCCAAACCCTCTAATACAATCTGGGTATTCAAACTCAAACACAGGCTAAAATTCTCTCACGATAAAGCTACAAGCCTTACTTCTCAGGAGCCTAAGTTAAAGGGAATAGCCCACGAATCTCTTGCAGCTCCAGATTTGTTTTCTTTAAATGACTCTGTAGTTTACGAGAACTTTTCATTTGCACCCCCTCTTTTTCAGACGTTGAATAAATGTGGAAGGGACAAAACCAGAGTACCAACGTCAGAAAGCTGCAGTATTTCTGATTCCTCTCTCCTCTTCCCCACCTCAAACACACTACTGCAAAAAACAAACAAAAGAAAAACAAAGCTTTAGAGGACAGTGCACTTGACAATGTATTCTGAAGATGTCTTTTCCCATTTCCTAAAGTAATCAGTTTAAAAAGACAATGCATAGTCCCCTTAAGACTCCAGGGAAAAGGAGCATCTGGTTTCTTGAGTTCACATACAGAACTGGGCTTGCTAGCAAAACACATATAATAAAATGTAAGTCTTACAGGGTGACCACCACAGATTTGACCTAGAATCAAGTTTCCTCCCTGCTGTTCCAGGTATCCTCTTCTTTCCATACTTCTGCATTAGTGAGCAAGGATAAGCACAATTGTTACCTCCAAGATCACCAAATCCACCTTTCCAGGGGCACAACGTATTTTCAGGTGTTAAAAAAAAACAGAAACAAAAACAAAAACGGATGGTATAGCTCCTTAGAGTACTCTTGTGCAATTAAAGCATTAAAATCATCAGCCTGTTTTATTTTGTGACGAGTTTATTGAACAGTATCCAAGACTTCACCTTTATAAACAAAAACCTCTGCTGAATAATGCCAAGGCCATATTTGCAGGCAATTTTTGGCCATATTGGCAATGAGTCATTTTATTGTGTTTGGTTTCTAAAGTATGGACCACTATAGAACTGCCAGTAGAACAATTTAAATGTGGTAATTTTGCAAGAGTGGTAAATAATTTTAAAAGTGATTACTGCCAGAAATTCTTTCCAGAAGGTTTGACTAACAACAATTTTTATATTTTCTTTACTTCTTTTTTAAATGTTCTTGAAACTGATGAGTGGATTTATTTTTAAACGTTGACCCACATTTGTACACAATGTCAGAATCCAATAAAAGGGACTCTTGATTAAGGATTTCATGCATCCTTATTTTTATCCAAGGTATTTCCACTCAATGTGTTTGCTTACTTCCATACACAGCCCTAGATTTTATCCAGTGCCTTAAACTTGACATGATTATGCTAAATAGTACTCTGAAATTTTGAATAAAAAGTTCCCTACTGAAAATATAAAGCAATTTTCACTGTTATTGCATTGCTTTGACAACTTGGAGCACAAAGCTAGAAACTACATTTCACTCAACAGTGTTGCATTAAAAAAAAAAGCCACTAATAATTGTACATCCAAACTACAGTGTATACACAAACAAACCTCCAAATTTTGCTTGTGAACTAAATGTTTCACTGAAGTTCAGAAAAAGTTTACAAATTTGTTTACTTATAAAATACATTTTGTAGATTTCTCTAATCCTTTCAACTAAAACACACACACACACACACACACACACACACCCAACCTTCAGCTGGTATTGGGGGAAAGGGAAGGATAGAGAAACATTAAACCTAATGGAAAAGATTCTCTTCCATTAATGTAAGTCACCAAAACAGACAATAAAATTTACACATAAAATTGTAAATATGTTTACAAATGCACACAACTTTGAGCAAAGCTTTACAAATCCTTCAAACCATACAAAGCAAATAAGAAAATGTAAATTCATTATCACCCAAAACCTAGTCTGTATGAGAAAATGTGCAAAAAGGAGGCATGAATAGTTTCACAGAACATATTTTTAAGAATTTTTTTAAAACTCAAACTCCAATGCCCAGCACAAGATGAAGTGTGCTTAGCAGTTAGCACTATGTAATATAAGTCTTAGATATACAAAAATCAAATTCCAAAGGGCAAAGCATTTAATTACATTTCACAACAAGAAAAGCACTGTTGTGATTCAACCAAATATGAAACAGTTCTCTCCAATTTCTACACAACCACTATTTTCTTAATTTAATTTAATGAACAATAAAACCAAGTTTTCCTTTCCAGCATTTATCTAAGATGTAGAAATAACAAAATAGTTGTAATAAAGTATATGAAATATTTAATAAGAATGTATGACCATATAACCAAAATAAATTGTAAAAAAAATAAAAGACTTTCATCTTCAAACAACCAATGTTTCTAAAATAAAAATTGTCAGCTTTCCAGTGAGGAAAATAATCTGCAGTTGAAATAAAATTCCTATAAATAGTGCTGAAGTTTTTTGCACTCTGTCCTTGGAATGAGAAATGATTACTTAACAGAAAAATTAAACAGCATATACAAACATCATATTGCTTTTTTTAGTTGAGGGGGCAGTATCTAGTGATCTGTCAAAGCAAATTTGTATTCATGAAATTCAAGACCCACAACACAGCCATGTCTTTTTTGAGTCTCACCAATCCTTTTCCTAAACAAAAATCCTGCACTGTCAATCCTCTAAGAGTGTAGTGATGAAAAGGCTTTCCAAATCTTACCACACAAATGAAACTGTTGCCACTCTTAACTCTAAATTACACGACGCTGTATTTCAGTGTTCCACTGACTTGCAATACCAAAAAGGCACTTTTTTTTCTTTTTCAGGAAATACTTCTTTTAAAAGGCTGACCCCCCTTGTAAGTACTTTGATTTGTAGGAAATGTTGGGGATGTTTTAAACCAAAACAGAGGCCCATGTAAAAGCCAAAATTTGTTTTTCATGATATCTCACCATCTCCCATTCCATCCATGTTTACAAGATAATGTGACACCTCTTTAGAACATTTTAACTAAGAAGGAAAGTAACCATAAGTAGAGCCTTTGTGGCAGTGAGCAGGACGTTGTAAGACAAATGTTTTCATGACAAGGACACCTAGTGACCAGAACCCATGTGGTCCTACTGCCTTAGTGACCTGAATGCCAAAGAAAAAAGTATGAAAGGGCAAGGAGTCTCAATTCTCTCCCCTCTGGCAGCTGCACTTACACTCTACGAAGAATTTTTGTAAACAGGCTCCTGATCAAACAACTAGACCAAAAGCCTCCAAGTGACAGGATTAAATGCATATCCATCTACAAACCAGCTTAGAGATTTTTTATTCTGTAACGCTATTGTTAACACAGCTAACAATTTCAACTTGTTTTAAAAACCTAGATGTAATAATGTTCCTTCTTATGAATGGACTCTGTGTTTAGTTATAGGCCATAATTTCATAAATCTGGGACAGAAGGAAATTTCCAGAACATTAGTCCATCACAGACAGGACTTCAAATCAGGAATCTTAAACAATGATTATTAAAAGCAGCTTCTGGTTTTTGATGCCATCCAAACAATATGAACAATTTTCAAACTGACTGAACTAAAAGTTGGCAGTCAAACCAAAAAGGCTCTGGTAGGTAGAGAACTCCATATTTTATTTTTGTGGCAAAATCTTATTCCAGTTTTAAGTGTGACATTAGAAATCAAAGTTCAAGGTTATAGCACAAACCAAGTGTGGAGTTTCATATTTAAAAAAAAAAAAAACAACAAAAACAGTTCTGCTCATTTACAAATGAGTCAATTAGGCAAACAAAGCAGCAACTTCAGGAGCAGGACTGTCTATACAGCAAGAACCCTCAAAAAGCAATAAAGGTACATACAGTGAATCTGTATACAGAGATTTTATTTAATTTTAAAAGAAAATGAGGACTTTAGACAAAGCTTTGACCCTATAACAAAGCAAATTTGTCCAGCTTTAAACCAAATTGCAAGAGCAGCCAACTTCTATTTTTCAGCAGCTGGCAAGAGCACCCTTAATGAGCTCTATTGACAATTCTATTTTCTTCATCCCATATGGTACAAAACAAAACCAATCTAGACTCCTTGATAAGCTTTATGTCATCATGAGTTTTACAAATTGTTTCTCTAATGGTAAGCCAAAATCATTTTTGTGTTCTCTCCAGACAGTTTTACTATAACATACAGCTGTTTATCCTGGTGGTGAGTCTTCTATAAACAGTCAACCAATGCTCTATGTTATGGAAACCAACCTATATGCAATTGAAACAATCCACAGGTTCTAACCTGGAAATACTAGGAAAACAATCTGGATGCATTAATCACAGCACTATGAATATCTACCCTACAAAGAATTGATGTGAACAGCTATCCTAATACAAGTTTTACTTTCCTTGAGCCTATAGGTCTGTCATTTAAATCAATGACAGCAGCTGTGGCTTCATCTCGAGATTCAAAGGCCACCATGGCTTCACCTGTGGGCATACCTTTTTCATTGTATTTTAAACAAACTGAGCCTGGGATCACTTGATAACCATAAAAGAAATCTAAAATCTCATCAATAGACACAGTGAAGGGCATGTTCTGCACTTTAATTACTGTCGGTCCTGGTTTTCCAGAACTAGATCCAAAGCCAGGGGGACCACCAATGTGGATTGGGCCAGGCCCAGGCCCAGGCCCAAAGGCTGGCGGCCCACCCAAATGGCCAGGGGCATTTCCAAGACCAGGAGGGCCACTTCCAAAGCCAGGGGGGCCACCTAAGCCACCAGGGACATTTCCAAAATTCTGAGGCCCCCCTCCAAATCCTGGCCCACTTAAATTATTTGGTCCACCTCCAAAACCTGGAACATCCAGTCCTAGACCAGGCAAACCACTATTTCCAACTGAAGGCATACTAGGCCTAACATCACCAAAGGCTCCTCCTAATCCTGGAGGAGGAAGTGGTGGCCCAAAGGCATTTGGCCCACCAAAATTACCAGGAAAATTAAATGGAGGTCCATTATTGGCCTCCTTAGATCCTACAGTCAGGAAGGCATGCTCTTCACCTCCTGCACTAGGCATTCCTGCATTGGGCATTCCCACACTGGGCATTCCCACATTGGGCATTCCCGCATTGGGAATTCCAGCATTGGGCATTCCGGCACTGGGCATTCCGGCACTAGGCATTCCGGCACTGGGGATTCCAGCACTGGGCATTCCAGCACTAGGGATTCCAGCACTGGGCATTCCTGGAACTGCAGGATTACCTGGCACAGGCATCTTTAACCCCTTTTTTCCTTGGGCAGGGGGATTTTTCTCAATCTCTCTCATATCTTCTAGAGTAACTACATGAACAAAAGCTTCTCGCCCATTAAGTTTTTTACGGTGTAAGCGTTCAGACTTACGTGCATCATCTTCATTTTTAAACTGAACCAATGCCTGTCCTAGACCTTGCCCATTGTTATCAACAAGAACATGGACAGCATTTTCATCCACTGGGATTCCTTCTAGGAACTGAAGAACATCCATCTTGGTAATGCTGAATGGAATATTTGTTATGTGAGCACAGACTTTGGTAGAGCTGACATCCCCCTCCGGATTTAACATCATTTCTCTCTGGTCATAATTAAAGTTCTGCAGTCTTTTTCTAATCATATCTATCTTTTCTAGCATACCTTTCTTAGTAATTGGATGAACCTGAATAAAGCGATTGCCCATGTATTGTTTATGACGACACAGAGCAGCCTTATAGTCAGCCTCATTCCTGAACTCCACAAAGCCTTCACCAGTTGCTTTCCCATTTGGTCCATAAGCGATATAAATACTATCTTCCACAATATCCAACTTTTTAAAAAAATCAATGACATGTTTGTTTTCAGCTTCAAATGGTAGCCCTTTCAAGTAAACACAAAAACCAGCCTCATGTGGTGATCTTGACCTTGACCTTTTCTGCCCACTGGGCGATTTTGACCTGGGAAGTGTCTGAGGAGGGGGATGGGTTTGTCCAGAGGGTCCTATACTTTGCTTAAAAGTGATATGGCCTCCAGCAGCTACCCACTGTCTCTCTGTTGCAGGACTAACTTCCACATAGCGTTGTATCATCAGCATTCTATTTCGTTTCAAGGCTTCGAATGTATCTTGAGGGGAGAGAAACTTAACCAATCCATTCCCATTATTTCGACCTACATGATCTTTCAACAAATGCACTGCATCAACACGGAGCCCATGAAAAAAATCTCTGACATCATTTTCCATTGCAGAAAAGGGCATTCCATGCACACTGACATACAGATCATCAGGGTTGATGGGAAGTGGTTTCACACTGCTTTGAGAATTCATCTGGATAGGATTAACAGGATTCAATGGACCCAGAAACACAGGGTTCAGGTTATTGTTCAGATTCATAGGTGCTCCAGAGCCATTCATTCCAGCAGGTAGAGGTGCCACAGGTGGTGGGTTCAAGGGTGGCATGCCCGACATAGGTGGCAGTGGGGTCATGGGTGGCACAGAAGGGACTGGAGGAATTGGGGGCACAGGAGGCACAGGAGGCAATGTAGGTACCGGAGGAGGAACTGGTATTGGGGGAATGGATGGCATTGGTGGTAAAGATGGCATTGCTGGGATTGGAGGAATTGGTGGTGGTGGGACTGTGTTCATTGAAGAGGCTGTGCTCGAAATGGTTGAGCTAAACGTTGGGCTCCCAAATGAAGTTCCCATATTTGGAGGAGCCGTTCCTATGCTGGCTGTGGAAAATGTCTGTATGTTTTTGTTGCTTTCATGAACAGAAGTGGTGGCAGTAACTACACTGGGTGAAGGATTATTAAAATTGGGTGCTGTTGTAGGCAAGTTAACCCTGCCACTCATTCCTGAGCTAGGTGGTGGTCCTGATCTACTAGCATTTGCTGGTGGTATATCTAAGTTGGCAGTTTCAAAACGCCTACGACTCAGTTCAATCATATTCTGCATTTCCGTTTTACTACTCAATAATAGTGTTACTTTTGACCCTTTAATTGTACCACCTGTGCGCATCATACCAAGCCTTGCATCTTCATCAGTGGCAAAAACGATGAAAGCCTCACCCAGTTCACCCCCTACAATATGCACGCCCCCATCAGGAATGGTCAATCCAGAGAAGAAGTGGCGAATGTCCATGGTCCCCGCCACAATCGGGAGACCTTGCAAACGGATGACCACAGCCATGCTGCGCTGAAACCACACACACCTGCAGATGAGAAAAGGCAACGGCCAGGTCAGACTCCTGTTCATCACACCAAATTTTTAGCTACAAGAATGACCAGCTACCACATTAGGCCCTCAAATAATCCCTCAAACTATCACAAGCAATGTCGTGGTTTTTTTTAACTTGGATATTCTAAAAACGGAGTATCATGTGCCATTTACAATGTAAAACCTAGACAATTTCAACTTCCAAAAGGAATTAATTCTGGAAACAATTAGAAGTTCGGTCCCAAGACTCAAAAGTTTCAGGAAAAAAACAACCATAGGAAAGTAAATCACCAATTAAATCATTCAGACCACAAGTAAGATTTAAGATTTAAAAGGAATGTGTAAGTCAAATCAGGAAACAAATTTAACAATCTATAGAGGAAAAACATGCAAAGGATGCATCAAAGTTAATATTTAAAAATAGTTTGGCATCTTCCTTATAAACCTGACAACTTCATAGAATTTTCAGTGTCATTTTATATGGCTCAATCTAAAATCCAACAGAAACAGAAAACTAATTAATTACAAATAATACCCAACACTAAAGTAGATTCAAATCTCAAATGAGAGCTGACTCCATATTTCACCCTAAAACTCTTCAATCTTCCTTGCAGCTTTATTTATTAAAGAAAACTACACATAAAATTATTATTACAAACAAGGCTAATACATGCTAAGAATCTAAAAGAAATACTGAATAAAATAGCCAAAATCTTAGTTACCTATATTCACTTCAAAAAATAGAACCTGGTTACAGTGCCATTCACCATGGCTGTTTTAATTAAAATTCAGGTCCAATGACTCATTCCCAAACCCTCCATTAAAAAAAAGTCTTGTTTTTCCCATAGGGAAGAACTGATAATGAAAAAGAGGTATGTTTTGTTTTAGAAAAACTAGAATATAAACTTTATTCAGTGATCACTTAGTCTCTGGCCCACCATAACTCCTGTGGAATTTCTGGGTGCTTGCTGATATCCTTAGATAATGTCCATTTTGATCTAATAAAAAAAAGTGTCTTGCCCAGTATGGCTCGGTTGGGCATCCACCTGTGCATGGAAAGGCTGCTGGTTTGATTCCGTCAGGGCACATGTCAGGTTGCAGGCTCCATCTCCCAGTAGGGAGAGTGCAGGAGGCAGATGATCAATGTTTCACTCTCACACTCACATCCACTTTTCTCTCTCCCTTTCTCTAAAAATCAATTAAAAATGTTTTTAAAAAGTTTCTCCAACATTTAAGTAAAATTTCAGTATTTCAGTTCTTATGGCTTCAAAGAGTAAATGCCAATGGCAGGCCTTTATAAAGCAACACAAAACAAATTCTTGGCACTGGAAAAAATATTAATTTGAACTTTATGTGGTCAACAACATAGGGTGTTGCCCAAGCCATCTTAAAAGTCAACTTTTAGATATAAACCTATTAAACTGGCTCTGTGACATTAGGGAAAATATAAAGCAGTTGAGCTTTGGTTTTATCTTCTCGAATGAGATGAGAAGAGCAAAGTTTCCTGTTGCAAGCTCTAAGAACTCTACAACTCTATGAAAGCAGTTTTTCAATGTTAGATATTATATGAATACTAACTCAATGAAAAAAATCTGTAATTGTAGTTCAATATTATGACTGCTCTACAGAAAAGAGAAGTATGTTTGGCCCTGACAGTTTTCTCACACACACACACACACACACACACACACACACTCTCTCCATCTTCAAATTTAATCCTGAAAGGTGGACTAGCAAACAGAAAATGCTCTCTGTGAGACCATTATAAACACTAGAAACTGGCGGAGGGGGGAAGTTTTTATAACTGGTCTGCAAGAGTCGACAAGAAATATACTGAAAAACAATCACACCAACAGACTCTTTTCTCATTTGCTATTTAGCAGTCTATCAGGAAGTTCATTAAGAAGCTTCCGAGTAATTACATTCCTGACTGGCTATATGCAAGCAGAACTGAGACAGCATTCCCTTTCAGCTTCAAAAAATGCTTAATCATTTAATCACTACATATGGAGGAAGCATCATGGGTACTCTATGTACCCAAAACAACTTGAGAGATGTTAGTATGCATTGGGACAATAAAAATTAGGACTTGATATGGTCCCAAAAACACAAAAATTGAACACAAGGTTAAAGGGACATATACAGTAAGTCTTCAAACCATATGCTGCTAAAAGAAGGGATTTAGTTAAAGTCTGTACAAGGCACACATGAAAATATGATACTCAACATCTCAACATCTATCCAGATTACCAGCTAGAAAAGGGCTGAAGACTAAACCAAAGTAGAGCACAAGATTTATTCATAAAGACATCAAAAAGGAAAAGTTTTTAGGTTCTGAAAAATATGAAACAAGATGTGCTATTCCACTACCAAGTACCTGTTTGACAGATACATCGTTTCAACCTATCTGGAGCCTACCTTAGTTATTTAATAGGAGGGCTAGATTCCAATCACTGGGGTTCCATTAAAGTCAAAATTTGTATTCTAAAACATATGACCCATTATCTATGCCTATACGTCTAAGAAATATTAAACAAACAAACAAACAAATAAAACATACCAATAACAAGCACCAGTACTTGTAATTAGTCTAAATGCTACTGAGGGGGGGAAAAACCCAGCTACTTACTGCCTAATAATCAGGAATTCAGTAGGAGAAATGCATCCATATAAAACTGACCCCTGAAGGAAGCAACAACTGTTCCTCCATCATGGTGCCCAATCCATCCCACCACCATCCCTGTCTTGTTTTATCTTTTAAGATAAGCTTGTTTAAAAAAATATCCACAATTTACTACACATATTTTCATGTTACTTAATAAGCTATCTCATTTTATTTCGTATTAAAGCAAACCCTCTATTCAAAATCTCTTACCTGATAAAACAAGAGATGTATTTTCTTAACAAGAAGTAGAGGCCATGTCAATCCTGTGGGCAACCAATTAAAACCAACTTTTAGACTGCAATAGAGAATAAACGGAGGCAAAAATCAATGCAGGAAACACAAAACACGCACAGGCCACACTGAACTGTACATTACCAAGGCAAGTCTGAAACCAGAGAACTTCATTAGAATGCATATGATGAAGAAGAGGAAGAAGAAGAAGAAGAAGAAGAGATATGTACCAAATCCTACACATGCTTATTACTCGGTATTGCTTTAAAATTTGAGTATTTCTCAAAACATTATATATTTACATACATCATGAATGTGTCACAAATCAGCCCAAGAATCAATCGACTGAAAACTAAAACAGTCATAAAGCTCTCAGCTTCACAGCAGGTAAGTGCTTTTATCACTTGATAAAACCAGTCCAGAAAACTCCATAACACAAGTCCAACTACAACCTATTTTCTCACGTTCTCACCAAATTTCTGATGTAAAAGCACAATAATAAGTTCACACAATAACAGTTCCTGGACAAATTAAGTAATCAATTCAAGGGTACTCATGAAAATTATTGCAATTACTCTTTTAATACATTGTCCTTTACACCAAAATAGCATCAAACATAAAAAAATAGAGACAGATCTGGCTATAAGGACTAATTCCTAGTTCAAAATATTAAGGAAAAGTGTTTTTTCTTCTAACACCGTAGGAGTCCCAAGAAACTTATTTTTTAAAATCCCTAAAAACACCTGGCATATTAAGAGTACTTCCCAAAGTAAAAACAGATCACTCTTCTTTCACTGGAATTTATCCCAAACTGGTGAAATTATGAACAATTCAAAAGCAATATAAATGACCAAATGATCAGGCAACTGGATTCAAAAGATCATTTTTTAATTCAAAGAAATAAAGTAGAAGAAAATTGTCACTGTTAGGTATTAAGATTACCAACAGAATACTATTACAATGATGCTCATTTTTAACTATTATCTTTCAAGATCAAGATACCATCAGTGAGCTTAATATCATAAAAAGCAAAACATTTAAAATTTTTACTGTTACTCCAAACTTTTCTAAAGGACAAGCCAAACATCTTCTAGACAACAACTCAAATTACTCAAGAACAGCGAGATTGTTTTGCCACAAAAAGCTATGCAAATACCTTATAAACAATGCCTTCAAAAGCCCACAGCATTGTATTAATCTTTTATTTTGTATAAATCAATCCTAATGAAATCTAAAGAGTTTTCAAACTCATTTAAACTGGTCACAAAAGGAAATGTGAAACAGAAAAAAACTTGCTTTACATAAAGGTTACTGGCTAAACAACTGGGGTAATTTTCTCGATAAGCACTTGTGATAAACAGACATCCATTATTGGAGATTGCAATTCAAAAGATGTGTGGGGCCAGGACATGTGCCCTAGAGGTGAGGGAAACAAGTTCTTTAGCCTCTTCCCTCGCAGAACCAATAAAGCACCTTATGTCCATCTGGAAAGGAACATACTAGGTTTATTACCGGAAATTTGTATAGGATTGCCAGAAATAATTTTAACAAAGAGGAAACACCTCATGCCACCAGGAAAACTTGAGAGGCCCAGTTGAACTTGTCAAATGCCTAGTTCAAGGTATACGTGTTCAATGTAAAGTACAAAATCAATCTTAAAAATAAATAAAACAAAAATAAATAAAAACAAAATCAATCTAGACATAAATTTGTGGATTTCTATTTCAGCAAAGGGGAAAGTCAATCTCACCCCATACCAAAAGGAAGTACAAAGAAAGTTCAGGCCAGAAGCCCAGAACTTCACTACTCTTGCTGTTACACCTCCACCTTCAAATAGGCAAGGTATATAAACTGAGAACTGAAGTACTTTTGTTTTCTATGCCTCACTTTGTGAACAACACAATAATCTAATAAAAGCATCGCTATTTTCCAGGAAACCTACTCATTCCTGTGTTCTAAATGTCAGCTAGCAATGGAATGCAGGATATCAAGATAAAAAATCCATTCCAATCACCTCCAACTTTGGTGAATTTTAGAAGGATAAGACTGAAAGAATTCTATGCAAATACATGTTTTACCTATGCCTAGAGCATAAGGGTAGGGAAGGAGAAAATGGGCCTGATCTGCTATTAAGTCCCCTGATACATTTCAGAAGATCCAAAGAAGGCTGCTTAGTAAAATTTTCCACTTTATATTAAAGAATTAGTCCTAACACAGTGGTCTTGCTTCAGCTTTACAAGTACCACATACATACATGAGCAAATTACAAAATCTGCTACAAAAATTATTATGACAGGACAAATTTTCTTAATTTACTAGTCATTCCAATCACCTGGAATTTCATAATAAAATGTCTGACAACAATCCCCTTTTATCAGGAAGCCAAGGCACAAACCAGAACTTAACCATTTCCACTCTTCATCTGGTAATAAACACCTAAAAGTGAATTTTAACTTTGTCCGATAATTACTCTTTAATCAACAAGAATCAGGGTACAGTACAGCTAAGTTCTTCAGATTTAAAAGAAACTAAAACCAGTACTCCTCAAATATTCACCTCAGAGATGAGCAACAGAGAACCAATCATAATGGGCATAACACTATAAGCAGCATAATCAAATTATGATAAGCATTACAAAAATAAATAAAAAACCAACCAACCAACCAACCAACAGCACAGCTTCATCCACTCGATTTTGTTCCCATCCCCAAATGGATCACATTTCAGATTCTGAGATCATTCTTAATAAAACAATTCTGACACTGAGGGAGATATACCCCTTTGATAGCACATTACTCAACTTTCCCATTAACCTCCAGTCAGTACTCAAAGGCAGCCAATCAAAAGACATTTCTAAATACGATAGTTATTCCTCTTGCCAAAAAGACTATAATATTATTTTTCAGTCCCCCCAAATGCCAACAAAAATGTTCATTATTTTACTAGATTTAAACTTCAAAGTAACAATATTACTTCTAACCTAGCTGACCCCATTCACCTGCACTATTGATCTTATAAGCTGGCCTTAAATTTAATGAACTAAATTCTGCAAACCAAAAGGTCTATGGGTGGTGATAATAAAATCTGATAAAACTACAAATCAGGTGAAGTTATTTTTCTTAGTTGAACTAAAACATTTAACAATAATTATTTATTCCATGAACATTTATTAAGTACTTGTGGGCCAGACAGGAAATACAGAAATGGACCATAGTCCCTGCATTTTGGGAAGGGATGTCTAAAACCATCTTTTGTGCAACCACTACTGACACTAAGAAGTTCTCCTATAACATCTACAAAAAATATTCATCTAAACTGAATGATGAAGTGGGTCTTTACAAAATGGAATAAAAACAGTATGAAACTGTCACTGGATTTCAGCACCTAAAACACACTGGCCCACAAAATCAAGTTTCACATCTAAAAATTATACCAAGAGCCCCAAACTCTCAATATGCAACAATCAAAACATTTGGCATGTCAAAGAAAGTGAAAGAAGCCTGAAGTATACTAGTATTAGCACATAACAATATGTTCCAAGTAACTACCACAATGGTTTCTAAAGTTTCACATTTTCCACCTAACAGATATGAATGTAAGAAAAACAGAAATTATGCATTACAACCTATAAACAAAATAATCAAATATTTGATCGAGCATATAAAAGTGATATAAAAATGCAGTTTTGTTAAAAAAATTTTCCAGCAATACTGAGCACATCCTCAACTTTTATATAAACACACTAAACATTTCACTTTCTTCAAAAATTAATTACCATAAAATTATTTTAACCACCTGTAGCAGTTCTTCCCAACTTCTTTTTAATACTCTTGGAAAATACCTTAACACAATTATTTTCCACAACGTCCAAAAATCCTCCATTCTATCAAAGCTACCAAATTTCAAAAACAAGTACAACCAGTCTTGTATTATATTTCTATAATTTAAAAAAACAAAAACCAAGATCGACCTGTATGTCCAGATTTGTAGACTTTTTCAACTGGAAATGCTCTGAAATGTATTAACAATATAAGCTATATAACAAAGTCCAAGGCAATTCATGTTCCTAATACTGCATTTGCCAAAAAAATTAAAAAAAGACACCACCTGAAACCAGTCAAGCAAGGAGCTCTAAGAGATACACTCCTGTCACAAGTGTCCTCAAAACTTTTCAATTGCAATCACTTTTTTTTCCCAGTTATACTGAATGGCATCACCCTATTCTTGAATAATACACAATGGTTCCTGCCAACTACCCCAATTTACATCAGGTCACCTGTGGGAATCCTGGAGCCAGAGGAGGATTTTTAGCGTCCAGAAGTCTCTCCTACAAAGCCTGGAATTCTCACTATACAACCCCCAGCATACGGCTTAGCGCTGAATAACCCAGAATAACCCTCACCCAGACCCTCAGATTTTTCACTATAAAGCGCACAATGGTGGCACACATAAAGCCCATACACTTACAATCTAGCAGTTAAGCCTCTGCACTAGTGTCCATCTCCGTCACTAACCTGTAGATCCTCCAAGCTCCTCCCACCCATTTCATGTGGCTGCAAAGTAACGAGACCAGCCTTCACTAGAGAAACTCAATTCACTCTCCATCAAAAGCACCCACATTCCATACCCCATAGGACCTCCTCCTCCTTCAGGGCTGGAGGCTCTCCCAAGGGATACCCTCGAGGGTAAGCCCCGCCCCAGCATTGGGCCTGAGAAGCATTTCAACTGCAACCCCCTCCACCTTCGGGCCACGAAATGGGCCACTTCTGAAACTTCTTTCCTAGGCTCACAGGAAAGTACCGGTTTGCAGCTTCCTTCCCACAGGTGTGTCCTAATTATAGTCCCTTTTCTGAGAGGCCACAGGGGCCTCCTTTCCACTTGGGGCGGAGGGAGTGTGCTCACTATGGTTATCTCCTCACTTCGCAGCACAGAAATGGAGTTCTGATCTCTGCCCTCTTTGGGGGCACAGAAATTCTTGCTCACTCGGGATGCAGCTGTGCTTTCACTGCCCCTAGGCTACCCAGTTCTGGCCTCCTCCCTCTCAGACCACAGGGACGTCCTCGCTATTGCCTCGTCCCCACTTCAGGAAGCAGGCTCGTCCTCTCTTGCGTCATTCTCAGGCCTCAGAGGTGCAAGTGGCGCCCCGGACCCCCAGAAGCCATGCCCGGCCCTTTTGTGTGGGGCGCTCGCTGCGGCGGGCTCGGAGGCCTCCGAAGGCCCCGCCCCGGGCCACCAAGGGGCGGCTCGAGCCCCGCACAGCCCCGCCCGTTCCGGGGCTGCGGGAGTCTTACCGGGGAGAACTGCGCGGCACCCGAACCCAGACCCGAGTTACCCCCCACGAGAGTGCCTCCGCCCCGCGGCCGACAGCCCCTGCGCGAACGGCTTTCCGGAGCCCACAGCAGCCACCACCTCCTCCGCTGCTTCACAAAATGGCCGCCGGCCCGCTCCGCAGGTCCGCGCTCCCGGAGAGGCGGGATGGGAAGGTTGACGTCACGGACGGGACGGCGCAAGCGCACTCACCTTTTCGGGCGGTCTCCCGGAAGCTGCCCGGGTTTGCGGCGAGGAGCCGCAGTCCGCCGCGCGCTCCTCTCCGCCCCAGCCGCACCTGGGGAGCGGGTGCTGGTGGTGGGACAGGAGCGGGGACTGAGCGGGGACTGGGCGGGCCCCTCGCTAAGGGGCTTGTGCAAATTGCTTCATTTTTGTAAGCCTTCGCAAAAGGAGGGAAATAATACCTACCTCGCATGATTGTTGAGAATTAAAAGGACTACGAAATGGTGCCTAGTTCAAGTGATGATTCCCTGACAGAAGAACCAAAACCTGATTCTTTTTTTCATTTAAAAATTTCAGCCAGGGGAGCCCCACCCACCAGTCTTCATTAACCCCGCCACAGCCGTGTTATTTTATTATAGGAAAATCATTCTGATGCTGCTTTGGCCCAGGCTGCCCAGGCTCCACTGCCCTTGCCTATACCCTGTAGCTTCATGAATGTCATCATAATCTAATTAATCGTCCAAAGAGAGGAGTAAACTAATAAAATCAGGGAGCAAATTTCCACACCTTAAACAAGCTTTTGGGGAGACATGTGTGCAGAATTCCTGGTGCTGGCCCTGTGGGCCAAAACTAGCAAGTTAAAAAAACCAGGCCTGGCCCATCTCCTCTCTGGAGCGCAGCCGGCCCTCCCCTCCTCCCTCCGCACCCCGCCTTGGCCCTTCTCTCCCCTAAGCCACCAGAGCCCCTCTCCAGCCTCTGCCACTTGTTTCCTGAGCCTATGCAGCCCAGTTGGCTGGCTTCTACTACCTCTGTAACTTTCTAAATAAACTTTCTCATAATTTAAAAGAAAAAAGCGAACAGACTAGGTCACACTTTTATTTTATTGGTTTTAGAGAGAGGGAGGGGGAGAGAAATACTAATTTGTTGTTCCACGTATTTATGCATCCATTGGTTGATTCTTATATGTGCCCTGACCGGATGGAAACTGTAACCTTGGTGTATTGGGGTGATGCTCCAACCAACTGATGCTCCAACCAACTGAGCCAGGGCCAGGCCCCACTTTTAAACCAAATCTATACTTTTGTTACAGGATTCCAGGGCAGGAGGAATAGGGAAACTGAGACAGAAAAGTTAAAACAAGGCCAAACTGTGGGCAATTTGCAGCTGTCCTGCAAATAACAAGCGATTAGCTTCCCCAGCAAGGTCACTTGAGAGCAAATGGTTAAAAGCCTCCCTAACAAGAGGATGCAGAAAAGGAGGGATGAGGCAAAAAAGGGCAGTTTTACTCCCTAAGCAGAACAGCCAGTAGTCTCAAGGCTTGGCAAGATAAAATTGCCAGGTGCTTCTCATGAATTCCAGGAAGGCCACAACTAAGTAAAAAGGGACCCTGAAAATTAATCTCTGCCAAAATATTTGGCAGAGGAATTCTGAGACCTATAGGCAGGAGGGTATATAATGCCTCGGACCCCAACTTGCTCTTCAGATTAGCTGAGAGCCTGTCTGCTCTTCATAAACCAGGTGTATAGTGTTAGATGGGCCAGGTACAGAAGCCCAGGTACAGAAATTAGGGTGCAGAGACTCACCAGGGCAGGAAGCCCTGGATGCCTAGCAAAGGGCAAAACTGGGAAAACAAGAACCTTGTCCCCAGGGTAACCTGTCCTCCCCTAGCATATGGTTGGCCATAGGGTTTAGACCCTCTCCCTAATGATAACATCTAGGCCTCAGTTATATTTCAGCTCTAGGCCCAGATAAGCAGCAAAACCAGACAAGTGGCTGCCTCAGGACCTGATACATTGACTAATGACCCCCTGCCCTGGTACTGACCAATCAGTGGAGACCATGACCCTGAAAGAGCACACCTGGAAAGCTCATGAATATTTTATTGAGACACTCCCGTGACACCTCCCCTAAGATTCCCGAAGGCAAGAAAGATAAAGACACTCAGGACAAAGGACCCAGAGTGCTTCCCACTAGGGGAACATGCCAGCGCCATCTCCATCCCTCCAAAGGGACTCCATGAGACTTGCAACCAGGGAGCAATGGGCAGTAGCAGCTCATCCAGGGCTTACCCCCTGACCCTGTCTCCAAGGCCCCTTCTCTCTCTGACACCTCAGTGAGCCAGAGCAGCCCAGCCCAGGCTCTCCTGTTGCCTCTTCTGTGCTCTTTCCTTGCTTCACTGTCCCAAGTATATTTCTGCTGACATCATGGACCCAATACCCTTTGGCTCAGTGCTGTGTAGCCCTTCCCTCTGGATATCCCCATCCCTTTTTAATAACTTTCTTTATTCACCCATTTGAGATGGCTATTTAACCTGCCCGCGCACCCCACTTTAACCTTTCATATCAATTTGCTTGCCTTGCTTCTTTAATAAAGGTGCATGCTTTAATTGTTTTATTAATAAAATTGGCTTCATCACAACACAATCAAGGCCTCTCATATAAATTCACTTATATGAGAAGACAAGAATCCAGATTGGGGACAGCTGTCTCCCTCTGACTCAGGGGGCTGTCCGATAACACCTCTCTGCTGTCTGTGAGAGGTGCCTCAACACTTTATTAAATATACTCTTTGTAGGAATAATATAGGGCATTATAAACAAAACCTACTAAGCGGCTCTCCAGGGAACACGCCTACACCTTTCTTTCCTCTTAAGTGTGCATCTCCTAATCGTAAGGTCACCACAAGACCTACAGCCAGGGGAGCAATGGGCAGCTGCAGCTCGTCCCAGGCTAACCCCCTGCACCTGTCTCCAAGGCCTCTTTTCTCTGACTTTCCAGTGAGCTGACAGCAGCTCCACCTTGGCTCATTTCTTTCCTATAAGGTTTCTAGAGAGCCAAAGCAGCCTCGCCTAGTCTCTTTCCTGTTGCTTCTTCTACCCTAAGCCCGTCCTTGTTTCACTGTCCTCAGCTTTAATAAACATACTCTCAAAATCACCTGGACTCATTTTGTGAAATCTTTCCTGCACAAAGTCAAAAGGAAAAAAAACCTACTAAATACAATGTGGTATCCAGGATTGGATCCTGGAACAGAAAAAGGGCAATAGTGAGAAAACTGTTGAAATCTGAATAAAATCTGGTTTAGTTAATATTAATGTACAGATGTTAATCTCTTAGTTTTACAAATGTACCAAAGATATTAAATTAGAGGAAGTTGGGTGATGAATATATAATTCTGTACTATCTTTACAACCTTTTGCTAAATCTAAAATTATTCAAAATAAAAAAATTTATTTAAAGAACTTACATAATTTCATCTCCTCTTTCTCCTATCCATCTGCATTCAGCAAACTTCAGCTTAGTGGCTTTTAAACTTTTTTGTTCATCAACAACATAAGAAATACATTTGCAACTTGGTAAATACATGCAAACACATAATTTTAAAATATGTGTGATGTAGTCTAATTTATTTTTCTCTCACTTGTTTGTGTTCTGGTAACTATCTATCTACCTATGGTTTCAGACCCACAGATGGAAAAAACTCTACTCTAGTTGCACTGGCCTTCTATTGGCTTCTCCCACATACCAGCTTTTTCATACCTCAGGCCCTTTGCTTTTGCTGCTCTTCCTCATCCCTCACTCATCCCTGGCAATCACATTTCTGCTTAATTAACACCTCCTCAAAAAAGCTTTTGGGCCCGGCTGATGTGGCTCAGTGGTTGAGCATCAACCCATGAACCAAGAGGTCCCCGGCTAGATTCCCAGTCAGGGCACATGCTGGGGTTGCAGGCTTGATCCCCAGTAGGAGGTGTGCAGAAGGCAAGTGCAGAAGGATATTTCTCTCTCATCGATGTTTCTATCTCTCCCCCTCCCTTCCTCTCTTTCCCTCTCTGAAATCAATAAAAACATATTTATAAAAAAAAAAAAAAGTGTCTGTAGTACATCCAGCATAGTAGGTTCTCCCTGTTATTTCCTTTTACCATTCTATTTCTTCCATAGCACTCATCACAATCTATAATATTTATTTATTCATTATTTTCTGTCCCTTCACAAGAATGAGGGAAAGGTCCTTTTTGGTCCTGTTAACTAATGTATCTCCAGTACCCAGAATA